GTCCATATCTGTTATCCAAGTGATACCATTTTCGTTTAAAACCGATTTGATTTTGGGATAAGCGTGTTTGTGACACAGAATGAGAGATTATTTCATGCGCTTTTCTGATATATGCCCAGTAGAGCTAAAATATTAAGATTTATAGTCCCATATATTTGCCACTGATATGCTGGTCCCCTTAAGAGTCTGTATATGGATTATAAATCCGATCTATAACCAACGGGTTTACCGCGTTGGATCCGTAACGTCCTTCAGTTGACAATTTTGAGGATGAAGTGTATGTCAACCAAATTCCTTTAGAATATTTAAATGATCTTTTCTCTATGTCTCAGAAATGAAAATGTGGATAATAGCTGTATGGATAAATATGAGAACACATTAACAAGAGTTCCATGAATGTGACATTATAAACCCACCTTTAATAGTGTTATTATGTGGCTTTAAAAGTTTTACCTCACAGGTCCTAACCAAAAGTTACAGCCTCTGTCCCATATGACTTTGCAAGTAATATAAATACATAAATGCACAACATGTGAATAATTAATTCACTAACGTAGTCAAAATATATTCAGATTTTTTTACGCTGTTTACAGGCTACTCGATCGATAGTCCGTGGGGTATTTGCTGTGAGATTGATACATAGGCAAATTGTTGTCTTGTTTGTAAATATGCAATCGCACAATTTCTTATGTGCGGTCGGAGTGGTCGGTGATTTTCCATACCAGCCAGCACTATCTCAAATTCAGCCATGCTAATTATTTTTATCCTTAATAGCCACCGAATGCAGTTTACTAATCGTGTAGACATTGCTTTGTGCCACTGCATGCAGCTCTGAAGAGTCGCTGCGGCAAGACAACACATAACATCTACCACCAAACACGTGCGTTTGCATTTTACCATTAATGCAGTTCTTTTCGTTTTTTTATTTCGCATCTGTTGTTCCGCTTCGATTATTTTTCACGTCTGTAACAGTGAGAGTATATCATAGTTCTAAATTAATAATATAAGTTGGTACTTTAATTGCTCGAATTGCAGACCAAGTCCGTTCTCATGATGTCTAGGTGCAATACGCACTCTAGCCAGTTACTTATTTTCACTGATGCAAGTGTCATACAAAAGAAAATCTCTGCCTTGGGAAAATTTAAATTTTCAGCTGTTGTGTGTTCTTGCTGTTGTACACGCTTTTCGTTTTATAAATATTTCCTGAACAAGTGCATCCTTGTTGAATAGCGGTCAAGACCTTTCTTTCCTCGACCGAATTATTGTTGATGAAAAAAATATTTATTGGCGATCTCAACCGGGGTGCATACAGCGTTGAATAACACTTCGCTGTTATTGAAACAAACCCGGAGTGTTTTTGCATCTTTTGGACGTTTTGCCTGTGCAACGATTCCAAGCTGACCTCGCATTGGATGTGGTACCTCAGGATGGTTCCAAAAGAAAATTTTTACATGACCCATAGCAAATTATTAAATTAGGTAACACTACTATTAGGCAGATACTCATCGGCAAGTGTAGCAAAAATTGTTATCAATGTTAGCATCCGTTGCCAGCTGGTCAAACACTTTGTCGGTATATTCCTTAACCTCATGACGGCGGTCAGATACGTGTATGTATGTATGTATGTATGTATGTATGTGTGTGTGTGTGTATATATATATATATATATATATATATATATATATATATATATATATATATATATATATATATATATATATATATATATATATATAACATTTTATGTATTTGGTAATTAATTCATTGCAATTTCAAAAGCTGTTATTGTCTAGTCTGGAAAAATTCATTTTCTCTATTTTAATAGGTGCTAAGGATAGTGTACTTTTAAGACAAATTCATACTGATTTTTGGAGCACAAGGGAGCAATCATTTTATTTAGCAGTGTGATAAGATCATCTACAGTTTCCAAACGTACAATATCCAAAGAAATGTCAGCCACATTACATCAAAGTATGAAAGTGGTATGACAACATTCGCTCCATGTTTTAAAAGCAAACAACTTCACCTAACATATCTCTCTCTCTCTCTCTCTCTCTCTCTCTCTCTCTCTCTCTCTCTCTCTCTCTCTCTCTCTCTCTCTCTCTCTCTCTCTCTCTCTCTCTCTCTCTCTCATAAGTACATAACTGGTGATCGCCTCCTTTACCTGATCAAATCTGGTGCCAACACGATATCAAATCCTAAACACAAACGCCAAAGACTATTAAGTGTAACCGTCCGGATAAACGTCGTGTGCTTCAAACTAAAATTTCATATCTGGTAACTAATGGTTTTGAAACTGAAACTATTAAAATTATACATAACTTGCCTGGCTTTTTAATACGTGATATTAGTGCTACATAAATACGATCAAGATGACTTTTTTTTATCAATATTCCCATTTGTCATCTTTTATTCCAGTTACCATATAGTAAATATAATCCAGACTCGCGCACCTTTAAATGTAAAATTTATGTGTATCAAAACTATTTCTACCAGAAGTGAAACATATTGATTGTTTACTTAGGTTAGCCCGTCGTCTGAATTTTCTCCTTTTATTAATGTTCCCGTTAATGACGTCCATAAAGTTAGTACACCTGATGGTGAGGAATATCTGCGATCCATCCACGCATTGTATGAACATAATCTTTAATAAATGTAACTGACACATCTTCAAAAATTACAAACTCACCTGAATCAACAACAACACTACCACGGCTAATAAACTCAGTCAAGTCCGCATAGTGGCAAATCTGCTCTGATGCATATTAGCACCGTGTCCTCGCGTCGAGTAACTTCCATAAATGTTAACTGACATTTTTTATAATATTAAACGTACTTTATTGTGAAATCAATAAGTGCTTGCGGTGTTGGTGAACGCTCAAGTGCACGCAACGCTTCAACAAGATGACAGCAAATGGGGCTATCCAACCGTGTTTGTACTAGCCTAGTCAGTAGTTGTCGTCCGTGCCTGGTTAAATAACTAACAACTTCATCTGCTAGTGCAAGTCCATACGAGTCGAAATACAATTGTAAATGGTCCAGTTCTATTTTGTTATGCTCTCACGTTATACTTTGGACACGTTCTGTGGTGCCGTAAGACTATGTCGAGTGCTTATTTGCCATCTCAACTGTGGCCTGCAATACCAGTTTGGTAGGTATGCATATGTGGTGTGCGCAAGAAATGACAGTGTTGAAGCGCTTCCCAAATGCATGAACGATAACGTGATTCTATAGTCATATGCTACGATGCCTGCAGTGTGGCAGTTTATAGCGATGTCTAGCATTGAGGCATGATGCCGCAGAGATCTTGTAGCACGATGTCACGCCCAGTCACATTATCCAGATACCAGGCTAATCAGTCCTAACACTGACCTCTTAATGCTGAACGCCTAGCGAGGCAACTGTTAGTACCAGATTCTGTAATCTGCGAAGAGGTTAGCACAGACATCCACAAAGTCAGTGTTGACAACACAACTTTGCCATCAACACCTCATGTATGCTAAAGTGCATCGTTAGCATTGTTCATATGGAATAAGCTGACTGTTTTGCTCCAATGATAACCTTGCGAACATCTCAACAAAACCCCAAATATATGATAAAGGGAAATTGCATAAGAAAACTTCAATGATACAACAATGATTTGTGATCGACGCTGCGCAAATCCAATGCTGAAATCAGGATCAGGAAACGGTAAATTTTCTACATTAGCATCAGCAACACCAACATTATTTCTAACTATAAGCATCTATGATCAGAGCTTTAACTATTACCACTGCTGAGCTAGCTGTACTTGTACGATCATCGCTGTATCTGGCATATCAAAGAATTGCTGTAACTACGTACCGAAAATCAATCCGATTTCCTTTTCATCACTGCAATAACGTGCACTGTTTAACACCGCCATGATACGGCTGTTGACAGGTCCCGCATGGACATTAGCGTCTAGTTAGCGTTGTTGTCGGCAAGTACCATATTTCCCCAAATTTCCAAGAATTCATAACTTGTATTTCTAATTGGCTAGAGTCTCTGGACGGATGAGTAATATGAAATTTTCTTAGATTTATGCGCGCCCATGTCAAATGCAGGATCAGATATGTCTTTGAACTGGGATATTGTTTATACATTATTCGTTTTGTCTAATACCTCGTGAGTGACGTTGAACTTTGGTTTCGTTGATGAGTTTGTAATCTTCCAGGTAACGTTCTGTGTTGTATTTAATACATCCTGTTGCATGCAGCATATATTTTGCGTAGTACACGCACTGTCTCAATCGTTTCACAACTCACCATCGGTGTCGTAGTAATATACATCACATATATTCAGCAAGTTAATGCATTAGAGCGCGATGTGTTTCTGTCCACGAGGTCATTGGTGACCCGTCGCTGACAAATCGATGTAATTTCAATAACAAATTCATTACTGCCGCATTAAACTGATCCCATAAAAGTTTCCAGTCGATACGCGAAGTCGTTACTGTCACGCAATCCACCAAGTCTTTTTATTTACTTTTTAAAAATCATTCTTGACGTTACAAGTTGAGATTCGACCGTGGATGTATATTTGAGCGGTTTCTCTTCTGATGGGAACAATTATGCTTCCTCAACAGTATATCTACTCTTTTATGTTGCCTACTACTGATTTGGGTTAGAGCCACTTCAAAACTTTTATAAAGATTTTTTTTTCTACACATGGTTTAGTCTTTTCTTTAACAACGATTCAACTCAGGTTAAAAAGCCTGTAAACTCAGTCATATAAGATCTCTAATGCTCAGTTTGTTTTGTGCAGTCCACTTCTTATATACCCACACAGCCCAGTTCTGTTCCATACATACACAATTTCTATTCGATGGTAGTTTATTTTCAAACAATTACTCGGTTAGCTGTGTTTCATCAGGTATTGGATCATAGATTTCCTGAAGGGATGGTTCTTTAATTTTTTAACAATATTTTGGTTCTATTAACCCTGATTTGAGTTCGGGTAGTTTTACTTGTGGAAGACGAGACCGTTCCGGTGGCTTAGTGGTTAGAGTGTCCGCCTCAGATGCGAGAAGTCGTGGGTTCTATTCCCGGCCGAGTCATACCAGAGACTTATAAAAATGGTACTAACCGCTGCCTCGCTTTGCGCTCAGCATTAAGAGGTTAGGTCTGCCTGGTGTCAGGATAATTTGACTGGGTGGGACATCATGCTACATGTCTGTGGTATGATGCTTAAGTGGTAGACATCACTATTTACTGCCATATAATCATCGTAGCGATATGACTGAAAAATTGTCAACGCTACGTTAAACATCCAAATCTCTCTCTCTCACACACACACACACACACGCACACACACACGCACATTTGTGGAAGATGTATCAACGCCTCCTCAACGTCTTCGTTGACTATAGCCATCTCGGTGGCAAGCTCGTTAAGAGTCTCTGCCGCCGCTTCTTTGCTAGCCTTGGTAAGTCTATTTTACGAAATTTGTAATAGCCGAAGCACGTTCGGCAACTTCCTTTCCTTGAGTAATCAATGGTGCAAATGTTTGTTCAAACTCTACAACATATCTCTGGTGCTTTTTCGACCTGCAGTAAAACTAAGAATCAATTCCTGGTGTTCACGAGCGGCTTTACGGCGTTGCTACTCATACTTGTATATGACATCATTGGCAGACAGTTTATATGATTGTGAGTTGTTTTTTTTTTTATTTTTATAAATTGATGAATCCAAACCTGCACAATATACATCCTACAAGTTCCAGTAAAATCAATTGAAAAAGTTATACGAATCCTTAGTGAGCCTAGCAAACATGTCACGAAATTCATCCCAGCTCCAACGAATATTTCCAAGACCACGAGCATCAAGACCACGAAATACTATAAAAATGTTACAGATGTTACTAATGTTTTTTTTAAGGAAAATGTGCGTTTAGCTTATTCATTTAGAGGGCATCAGTGTTTTATGCCAGCCTCGTGAAAATATTATTTCGAAACTGACTTGATTTCAGCATCACATCGTCGTGCACTACAAGACTTATCGATTTATTTCAAATCATGTGCTTCTGCGATTGTGGGGAAACATCGACGGTAGCAGCAGCGCTTTTTGAGTATTTAAACATCATAACAGGGCTGGCCATTAGCTGATGGTGCAATCATATATAATCGATGCAACTTCATCCAGCGTGAAATCATATTCAACAGCAGTTACGTTCTTCCTGATCCAGCAGGACCCGTGTTCATTGCACGAACTGAGTTTCGTCGCCATGCTATAATTGTTTAGGCATTGCATGTGTTGACAAATCAATGACGAACAAATCTTTGAAAACATCAAAGAATTTCACATTTTGTGATGCAATTGAATACTACAGTATACAATAAAATTACGTCCAGATAGTTATGCACGATATCACATTAAAACACGTTCGGCAGATCCGATTCAAGTTCAAACACGTAATGGACGAACAACGATTACTACAACTTTTCTTCGATGTGCAGCAAAGAAATTAAAGTTCACTAAAACAAAAGTCGTGAGTGATGTCGCAGCTGCATTTACAATATTACCAGAAACACCATCAAATAAATATCCTGATAAAAACATTCCTGGGTACAATTGCTGTGGACACGGTTACACTAAACGACTTGATTCTAACAACCAAAGCTTCGTGAAGCTCTCGTGAATCGTGTTCATGCTACGTGTTACCGATGTGACCTCTGCTTTCATATAAAACGATATCCGTTAACGTAAACGTGCCGACGAGAATCTTATCCATGACTTGAATGTGATTGTGAGACCAGGTGCTATATAACGAATTGCAAGATGGGTCGTCAGAGGAGATATGAAAGCCGAGATTGCGTCCGGAAGCTCTCATTAAATACTGTTATAAAGAATGGACACAAAAAGCTGAATATTTATCAAAATATTTTACAGTCCGAGTGAATATTGGAAAAGTGAAGCTGACGTGGAAAAGTTAGTATGTGCCTAAAAGGTCACTCATTGGGTTGGGCGATCATGGTTGGCTAAACAAGCGTTCTGGCAAATTAACCTTTCAGTACCAAAATCGATTTCACATGCTTGGTTTGGTATTCAAATAACAAGTGATATTCATTTGGTTTGTTGTTCAACACTCTGGAGGCATACAAATGTCCAGTGACAATGGTCAAGTCAGGCACATGCACATGGATGACCAAGCCTTTTGCATAAGAAAATAATGCATGTAAAACTCTCTACTTCGATCAATTTGTGGTCCCTGCTTGTTTTCTCCAAAATTTTTTCTCTTGATTTGGGTTAAAATTATTAGGTCAATGTTTTATCATCTGTAGCAATCTTATTCAAACGATTCCAGTCCCTCTCTTCATGTCTGACAAGTAGCTGTTTGGTGATTTGAATCAAACTGATTTTGACCAAATGTCAACAAATGTGGGACACAGCTTTTTTAAAACCTTTCCGACCTTCCAATAACACTTCAATAAATTAAAAAAAAGCAAACAATTGACAAATTATTGCCAGTGATAATTTCACTGCAGACTCTTTAACAGTTCACCATTCACTACATCTTTGAATAAGAGTCATCTTCCAGGAATTCATAACCGTCTTCAAAATGCTGAAATAGCCTCAAAATAGAAGGCTATGACATATAATTACAACCATAAGGTTTATCCAAGATGACCTTGATATTAGTCAGAGAGTGTCTGGATTTTATGCTCTTTCTTCACTAACAGAATGGTTCCCTTTCTTGATCGTTTTGACATAACTGTCATCTGTTTATGTTACATCACATGCATATTTTGCAGCCGTCCAGTGAGTTGATGTGCAGATGATTGTACAGAACCTTACTTTGTCCGTCTATCAACATTAAATCGGAACAAGAAACATTAAAACACATGACAAAATATTCACAACGTTTCAATACTCATATATAACCACTACAATAGCCTAGTAGTCAGAACGTCTGCCTCAGATGTGCAAGGTCATGGGTTTAAACCCTGGCCAAGTCATGCCAAAGACATACAAAATTGGTAGTAACAGCTGCCTCGCTAAGTGCTCAGCATTAAGAGGTTAGTTTTGGGACTGGTTGACCTGGTGTCAGGATATTGTGACTGGGTGGAACATCATGTTACGTGTCTACAGCATGATGCCCCAGTATGTGACATCACTATAAACTGCCACACTACAGACTTTGAAGCAATATGGCTGAAAAGTTGTTAGAGCTATATTAAAACTCTAAAACACACACACACACACACACACACACACACACACACACACTCAACATTCACAGTACACATTACTGCAGCCTTATGCTGCATTTTGTTGTGTATAAATTGTTTTGATTTTTAACACATACCCTGAAATTCCTCTTTCTTATCACTATGAATAAGTGTGCTGTATGCACACATCCGTAATCAGTTCCAACATTTCTGTGCAAAAACTCTCATCTTCATCCTCACTTTCTTGGTGGTGTTCATGCTTGACAATTCAGATTCAAATCATTAGATTTTATTCGAAAGTTTAGGTTCAGTATTTATACTTATTTGGACCATCATGACCCTTCTAAAATACATCTGAGTGAATTACTTGTCAAGACAATGCATGGTAATTGTGTTTGGCACATCAAAAAGCTTCAGCCTGAACTGATTACCTTTAGAAACATGATGGTATGCCAATGAAATGTTGCCCACTAACTCTATCATAACAAAGAAGTATTGAATACTATGGTTTAAGATGAGAATAAAAGAACCATTTCTATTTCCTGAAGAAAAGTAAGTAAACTGCAAATTTACCCGAACAAAACAATATAACTATGTTTATCACATCAACGCTTTAGCCAGTGTGAGTTACCTTTAAAAGCACTTTCACTGTATAGCCACAAAAAAATTATATACTTTTATTTTACATGAGAAATAAAATAACCAAATTAGTTTTTGTCTATTGCATGCATTAATTTCTGTTCCATGATGTAAAAGACAAACTATATTTATGAAAAAGATGTCCCCCTAAAAATACCTCTATTGAGAACATTAGAATTGCTTGAATTCTAAAAATAAAGAAATCAAAAATGAAGTTGTCAAATACTGAATATTTGCAATTATGAAATGAGTTTATTAACATCAGCAATCACTGAAAAAGGACTAACAAATGCCAGTAAAAAACTTAGTTATGCAATGTAATGTGCAACATGTTATATTTTACAAGGAGTGAATGTGACACGTAGGCATCTTAGTGCCTTCTAGTCCTACAATGTAAGAGAACCACTCTGATATTTCTTGTTTGGATCGACATCGTACATCCACAATAATGGTATTATGTGATGCATTCCCCAGTTGACTGAGTGTGGAACTAGTTTCAGCCTGGCAGATTGTATCCAGCTACCAATTTTAAAAATGAAAAGCAACAAAATGTTTAGATGGTAATGGAAATGACTGCTTGGTTGCAACGGAGTTAAAAATAAAAAATCAATGATTGAAATGAGTAAATTTTGTACATTATTTATATCCTTGATGCTTTTTGTTTATAGCTGGGTACAAGCTGCCAAAGGTGTTGGCTGCAATGATTGAGGCAAAATTTTCTGGTTTATCTCACACACTTGGCAGTTCATATCAACACTTTTCTAGAGTAAAACCTGATTGCTTTAGTCAGACTACAGACTTCACTTACCCTGATGTCTTTTTCCTGATTGAAATGCGACAGTAGTCATGGAATGTTGAAAGCGGTACAGGTTTCTTTGCATAATAAACTGGTGCTAGATTCTGTACAAAGACAATTTTTCAATGCCTGCAAGCTGTAATATTGTTAATGTAGAGGTTAACACAAAGACTGACACTGATGTGATATTGTTGCTCACTGCACCCGTGTGTGCAATTTGGAATTTTAACAAAGGCTTTATTAATTTTTCAGTTATATCGCTATGATGTCTGCAGTGTGGCAGTTTATAGTGATGTCTTGCACTGGGGAATCATGCCACAGACATGTAGCACAACATCCCACCCAGTCGCATTATCGTGACACCAGGCCAACCAGTCCTAACACTAACTTCTTAATGCTTAGAGCCAAGTGAGGCAGCTCTGAGTATCATTTTTATAAGTCGTTGGTATGACTT